ATTACAGTGTAATGACGTTTTTCTCATAGAAGTTGTGTCATATGTAAAAAGTAAAGCAGACGTCTATCACAAACTAACCAAGTAGGCTTTCAGACGTTCTAGTTCATGCTCTTGTTAACGATACTATCTCTTCATAGGGCGTTGCTTACCACCCGATTAAATAAATATTTAGAAGTCTAATTTTTGGGGGATGTTTTGTAACAGAACTTTTTTTCTTTACTGCTAAAAATCTGAAAGTCAAATATATTTAGCTTGCAGTAATTACTGTGTTGAATTGCCAGACGGTGAGTATAGTAGATATAGGATATAACTTATATAAACATTACATAACATCATCCTCAATAATGTACCCTATGTAAACTCCTTGATGAACATATATATCACTTCTTATTCAAATGTGAACTTTTATCAAAGTTAAGGTCCACCTGTATTCCAGAACATATAATGTGTAGTTTTTTTTTTGTATAACCCAGAACTGTCCATGAGAAATGTTTGTAATATGTCCAAGTTAGAAGATCTCAAATTATTATTTATGTTGATAAGGGCTAAGATATTGTCAGAGCTGGAGATTAAATAACAAGTTAGATAGTAAATGAGGTAGTTCATGTATTTTATTTAGTGATATTCGTTTCAAAACACTGCAATCTTTCCATCATCACACATTATAATATTGCACTTTATTGCTATGATATATATTGATATACTGTAAATAAAGATTACTTACTGGTTACTAAACAGTTTATACAATTGCTTTGATTAATAAAGGTATTGCTTGGGTTCTAATAAATTGCAATCTTAATCATCCAGACGGACAAATGTGACAACCTAATGGAAGGGACAACTTCATGCCTTGGCACAGTCCTGGATTACTAATACAGATGCCTGATTTCAACTCCACTTTTTGTGGTCGACCTTGCTTCTAACACAATCTGGACTTCTGTCACTTCTAAACGACTGGTGACATTAACGCTTGTAGGACATTTAGAAGTATCACAGCACATTAAAAAACAACAGTTTTTATGGATATAGACTTCTATTAATTATTGAACACAACGTTTCATTATACATACAGGTAACGTTATCAAGTGTTGGTAACATATCTAATGTGAGAAACTGTTCAATCAATAGTTTAAGTTGACCCTAGTATTAGCGATGGGGAATCTGGTCTCAAAGGAATTACAGGAATCGCGATTATCTAAATGTATAAAGCACTACTGTAGGAAGGGGGCCGCCTGAATAAAGATATCTTTAATGCTCAGTTCACACCAACGGCGCTTCGAAGCGGGGACCCCAGTCTTCACGATCTGTCACCACTTGATCAAAAGCGGCACGAAATCGGCCTTTCCAAATTTTCCAATGCGTAACAGAGCTTAACAATGTACAACAGAGCTTGATAATCGTATCAGAGCGTAATTTAAAGCGTCATAACCGCATCAAAGCTTAATAAAGCTTATCAAAGCGTGATTTAAAGCGTAACAAGGCCTGATCAAATCGGGAAATAATTCGTCCCCAAGGCGTAACCAATTCGTATCAGAGCTTATCAGAGCGTAACATTACTTACGAGATTGTGATATTTTTTGAAAAGTAAACAAAAAATGATGGCGCTTTGCTCGCCGATTTAAAGCGCAGCATTCGCCGTTGGTGTGAACTAGGCATAAGTTCACTCTGAAAAAACCAAAAACTGGGCCTTTAAAATAAAATATCGTTTAATGAAAATTGGAGTATGGGATAGGATCCTGCCAATATTAACATCCAATAGATTTTTAAGTCATAAGAGATTAGTCGTAGACGTTTTTAACAAAAATGCCAATGTTTACTTTGAAAAGTGGTTCAATGACCTGGCGCAAAATAGAAGCAAACCTGGTAGCGGTGGAAATAAATTGAGAACGTACAAGTTATTTAAAACTGTTTATTGCCCAGAAAATTACGTTGTCAATCATTTATTCCCCTCTCACCGCAGTGCCCTAGCTAAATTTAGGTGTTGTGTAGCCCCAATCCGCATAGAAACAGGTAGATACGAAGGCATCCCCATTGAAAACAGAACATGTTTTAATTGCCCTAATACCGTGGAAGATGAAGAACATTGTCTCCTAAGATGCCCATTATACACCAACATAAGAAGTACTTGCACTAGAAAAGCCAAAAATATATTCCCAAATTTTGATTCATTAACCGATCAAGACAAAATGTGTATACTTTTATCCCAGCCTGAAATGTACCAATTAACCGCCAAAACTTGCTGTGATATTTTAAAACATAGAAAATGTACCCTTTATCGGTGGTATCCCACGCCCTGAAATTTAATCAATTCATATGTATTGTGTTAATGTTGTTCCTTCAAGGTAAATCATGTCAGTCCATATTTATCCCTATAGGTACAACCACACTGTTTTCTTATGAAATAATAAACTAGAAATGGTAACAGCCCGAACGTTATCTTTTCAACCAAGCACTTGATTTCAAATATTCACTTTGTAAATTTCGCCGTGGTGCACATAAACTTAAAATATGATAGAATATGTTCTTTATGCGACAGAAACTGTGTGGAAGATGAATTCCATTTTATTTATATATAAATTATATATTATGTCATAAATACGACGATCTAAGTACTGTGTACCTTAAAAATAAATGAATATATTTATCAACAGATATACCTGGTGTCATAAATAACATAACAGGATCCTTATATAATCCGATAAATCCAATTGAAAAACGCTTCATATTAAGATTAAGATTTCACAGTGATTCTGTTTTGACACTTTATGACACCAGGTAAGTTCACTGATGAATATTGACCATATTGACCATTCTTAAGAACTTTTCTGTTCATTTAAAGACATAGTATTACTTTGAACTCTGAAACCATATATATTTAAATAAATATTTTTAAAAGATACGTATATAATTTTATATAATTTTGTCATAATGATATATGCAATGGACTAAAATGAAAGAGAACGTGTGTTTTCTGAAATTACAGACGAAATATCTGCATTCTTTGACACATTCACATACTTCTCCTGTCTTTGACGAAGAGCTGTGCTTTAAGACAGTGGGATTGTCTGGTATTGGCTATACGTAAAGTGGAAATCGAGCTCTAAACCTGGTGAAGAAAATATTTAGATGACTAAATCCTTTTAAATCATTGTTATTCCGCTCAAGATTGATTAACAATTAAGTAAAATATATACAAATTCCTTATTTTAAGGTAACTAAGGATGAAACTAACAGCATCATTGATTTCAGACTCTATTATTGAAATGAATTTTAGTTTTTTAATTTGCTATGACAACCTTCTTTGATATAGTTACTGAAACATGAACTGGTGAGATTGTCAATTTAAAAGTTTGGAGTAGAAAGGATTCTAGCAGTTGGGCTGTTAAACTTGGCTTTCTTGAAAGGATTTGAGCTTCTTGCCTTCAGATGGTTATGATGTAGTAAGGCCATAAGAACAACGTGAAAGTATAGTATAGTATTGCCTGCAAGTCCTCAAAAATTGTAATTCGTGGAGAGGATTTGACTCATTGAGCTTCTTTTAGAAGAAGAAGTGGTTCTGTTAGTACATCCTTTAAATGATCTGCCTTAGAGCAAGTTAAAAGATCTACAAGTAACTGGCTGTTACAATTTGCTGGACAGACAAGTAAAATAATATTCAATGGACATGTGAAGAGTCCATAGTTATTAATTGTGGAATTTTGCGTCTTGTGGCTGGTAACCTCCATCAATTCTTATTGAATTTTGAAATTGGATTAATCACTGATTAAAACAATATCGAATTAATATTAAACGAAGAAAATATTTATTTTTTAAAAATGTGTTTTGAGGTGATGTTTGTACTCTATATTAGTAATATGACGTTACCTTCTGTATCTCAATCTACCACAACTCAAACTCGACTAGAATGTAATCATTTAGCATTTAGTCAAGGGAATAAATCTTATTTTTATAACAATGTTAATAAAACCTGTATAATTTATCCTAATAAAATACATTGGATAGAATCACTGGTTCCACATCCTGGATTTGAATATTTTGTTGAAGACGGTAAGTGAATTTTTTTTACGTCTTTACTGTACGTGAGAAGCAGTGTAATGAATGGTTTATAACGTCCTATGGATGTGACGACAGTATAAATTGGCGTAGTTCGTTTTAGTCCCACTGAAAACTTTAATGGTGCAAACCGATGTTATCTTACAGTCAAAACGACCTTCCATCGTGTTCTTATGTTTTATATTATATAGGTCCTGCTTGTGAACCTCCAACAATCTCCAAAATTCACTGATTAAGTACTTTTAATCGTTGTCTCACAAGCCTTGATTTAATGTCCAAATGTTTTATAGGTCCTGCTTGTGGACCTCCTCCAGTCCCAAAAGGTCATCAATTATTAGAAGTAATTGGATCTGCTGGTAATTATATAGCAAGATATCAATGTGATCAATTATACGTTCATCGTCAAATAGGCGAAACACGATGTATTGGTGATTCAGACTGGACGGAAACACCATGCAAGGGTAAGCATACTATCAACAACTCAGTTTCGCAGCCTCTCGAGACTAGGGGTACAAATAGGGTCAAGCTGGCTAAATGGGAGAAAACTGTGAGATCTGTAGAGCGCTTAGACGCATGCCTCCCATGGAACGTCTGAGAGGGTTCTTTCCCAAAAAGAATTTGAAAAATAGAATTGATTTGATGCATTCCGACATTTAGTTTGAGTCAAACAAGTAAAAACGTATACAAATCATGTCTTATATTATTGTTAAAAATGAGGGAACAGTTTTCTATGCATCGAATCACTTTTACAAACGAGTATGCACAGGTACAATAATTCATCACAATATTTCATAGTCGGAATTTAGACGCGCTGTGGTTCAAATGAACGTGAACAGTACGAGACCTGGGTATTAATCTTTTTAGATTACAACGGAGACCAAAAACAAACAAAAAACGAAACGAATGAATGAATGCAATGCCAATCAGGTGGATAAACAGATTGATAGAAGCAACATCAGCTACCATTTTTTTCTTTCATTTTATCTCAGATTTTGCTTCTTGTGCAACGATAAAAGAATGTAACTCATCTTATACAACTGACGGTGAATATATTCATTATCCTGGTATCTTAAACAGTTCTTCAGTTCGTCTGTATTGTCACAACATGAATACCAGCAATCCTAAAACCTACCTCACTCTCAATGCTACTAATGTATTTGATTTTCCGCCTGGTATGGTCTCTAA